TATTCTTAATTCTTTTTTGTCACTTTGTTTAATTTAACTTTTACATATATATCGAAATGTATAGCGCCAACACATCACATTTTTCAGATAATCTCCGTCTTCTAATATTTTTTTTCCTTGACGTTCACAGTGGAACATTAGGCTTCAAGCTAGAGACTTGAAGTTTCCGTAGCAGTGTTTATTTTACAGGATGGGGTTGCTAGCCTCATGCACAACCTTTCCTCTTTACCAGCATTATTTCTGACTAAGCGAGGTACAGGAGTGCGTTTCTGGCCGAGGATCGAATCCCGGACCATGTGCATGGTGGGTTAGCTTCCTAACCGCTGTGCCACAGACGCCGTCTCCTAATAACTCTATCAAAATTTATAAAAGGGACTAATTGTTTTAACTTAAAACAGAATCTATATTCATTCAGCAGTACAGCTGTTAGCAACCTGAAATGTAATTCTGAATACACAAACATGAATGAATCAAAAAAATGAACTGCGTGTATGAGTACAAATCATGAATGCGTGAATTAAAAAACAAAACAATTCCAACAGTTGATGTGTGAATACGGGCAGTAATTTTGCTCGAAATATTACCAATAACAAAACTTATCATTATGTGTAAAACATTGAAATATTAATTATACTTTATTTGATCTATTCCACAATGCTTAAACTTCCCACTGACATTAATGGCAGAACATATAATCCTGAGATTTTTAGTAAATCATTATAGATATAATTTATGGAAAGTTAACAATAAAAAAAGCCAAAAAAAAAAAAAGAAATATGAAGGCAATAAACTGAATAGATGCTTGATGCAGACAGGAAACACCAATTAGGCAAACAACAGTGTTGAATTTATTTATTTCCGTCTGTCTCGTATACGCAAATGATTATTTCATGACACAGTCAATAATAAACTGTAGACCTTGATTTTATTCATTATAAACGATCAATATTTTGGAGTAGGACATTACAGTTTTTAAAAAATCACAAAATAAATAATTAATTTCCAAGTATTAGATTGTAGAGATTTCTTTTGATTGTTTGGAGGATTTTATGGTGACGTCAACTAATGCTTAAGTTCTCTAACTAATCAAACAAAATCCTTACAAAGTAATGCTTTTGAAAATTTATATGATGCTCACTAGTGACTGGCTCTATTCACGTAGGTGGTTACCTGGATTCTAGTAAGAATTCGTGACCAGTGTTGTATAGCAGATCACGTATTGAGTACAAATACTCACCACGGATGACAATATTTGCTAGTGGTCGCGCCATATCATGAATTGGCAGAAGTTGGAATTCATGGGTTGGCCATTGGACTGGGTCCCAGTGGCCTAATGGTCAACGAGTTCAGTCGCCTTTTAACCAGGAGGTCCTGGTTTCGAACCTGGCAGTATGGGTGCGTATTGAGGAAGAGTCCCAGACTAGGCTGACGAAACAACTGGTTGTCCAGTACTCCTAGCTCATTTTCCAATGGTCCTCCAACCGATATCAGCCCATGATGACATCCCCCAACCAACCAAATAATTAATTAATTAAGCAGACATCAAAACATAACTCCGTGAATGTTACAACACAATCAGATTGGGCAGTGAGTGTATACGAAAGGAAGCCATGTTTGCCTCCAGATACACGGCAAGTCTTTCTTTCATGTATTCTCATGTCATGACTCTCATACTGACTTAATTGTTCACCAAACTATAACTAGCATGGTTACAGGAGATTTGAATATAGAACTTTATAAAAAAAAGTGAAGTTTATTAAGCTGAAGGAAAGTACTAGTGAATTTCTCTAGTCATGTATTGGTAGTATGGAAAGGCATGAACGACCTGGCCAATTACTTTCCTGAAAGAATTGATCAGTTAATTAACTGTGAAAGCATGATGAACGTAACGCTGTCTTCTATTAGTGTCGGTCTTGAGCTACCGAAAGTGGACAACCAGAGAAATCCTGTAGATATATCAGCTTTATGTTGTTTCTAAGGTGTAAGAAATGACGGATAGTGCGCCTTTTACTTTAGGTATTGTTCTAAAGGCAAGGCCAGAGAAGCCATAGAAGAATGTATTGTGCAACATCAACTGGTAGAATCCAGTCAACACCACTAAGGACTAGATGGACGACAGTGATCATTTCCCAGTGACAGATCAAAATAACTATTATTACTAGTGCTTCCTTTAGTTCCTAGAGGAGCATAGGGCTTAAGCCGCCCACGTCCCCGTGGCATTCGGTTCTCTGCCAACATTTTCACATCGCTCCACGTCTGCTCACATGCTTTCATCTCCTCTTCACATCACCTCCTCCATGTCACTCTCCCACTGACGATCAGCTAACTCACCGATTCTCATTCAGGTTCCAATTGATTAATGACCTGGCTTGTGATGTCAATCACTTGATGGTTTGTTTCCTCAGAGTATGACCAATCCACCTCCATTTCTTCCTGCATATTTCTTGCACAATTGGTTCCTGATGGATTGGTTGGTGCTTTCATCGAAAGAGATCCCTCCCTGTTGCTGATCTCTTCTGGCAGCCATCTGGTCTTCAGCGAAATATTGGGCACACACGGTTGTTGATGACTGTCTTTAGTTTGTTCAAAGTGCCCTTCGTGACGTGACTCGGCGCGGCGCGGCGCCAAGTCTTCGATCCGTATAGTAAGTAGCGTTGATTTCACATTGCAGTTGAAAATTCGGATATTATTTTTCATGCTGAGTACTGAATGTTGACCTCCACAGAGACTTGAGAGAAATGAAAGCTTGCCCTCCTTTCTCTATCCTAACTTCGGTATGCTCGTGCTTCCCAGCTAGATAGAGGAGGTTGCTTCTTTCAGATTTCTCCCATTTATTCTGATTGTTATCTGTTGTTGTTGTTGCTGTTGGCGAGGGATATTCATATCACCTCAGCAGTGACATCTCTGACCACAATACTGGACTTGGTAGGTACGAATCCTCCACAGGACGTCAGTCTGTCCAAAGTTTAAGATGTGCCTTGTCAAAAGGTGCTTGCCATTAATCACGAAACATATGCCAGATAAGAATTCTTGTCAATTACCTACAACTATCTAATTATAATATGGAATAATCATCTCTCAAATTTCGCTTTGCCAACCTCTTTCTAACATTAGTACAAAGGTTAAAATCTGGGAATCTAAAAAATACGAACATCGGAAGAAAGTGAGTGTCTGTGACATCTAAACATTTGACAGAAAGTAAAATATGCAAGCCATCAGAAAGTGAAGATCACCTAGATGAGACGGGATTAATTGATCAATTGTGACTAGTAATGAACTCCAAGATGGATGTTTCATCCGAATTTTAAAAAACATTGAATTGTTGGTTTGTAGGGATTTGATTGGTTACAAGATTTCATCATGAGCTGACATTAGTTAGAGAACCATTTGAAAACCAGCTTGGAGTACTGGACAGCTGTTTCGTCCTAGTTTGAGACCCTTCACCAGTACACACCCACCTTGTAACCAGAAGGTCGTGGGTTCGAATCCCGGTGGGTGCGTACTGCTGAAAGGTCCCAAACTAGTAAGAAACATCTGTCCAGTACATCCAAGTTTTTCAATGATTCTCTAACTAATGTCAGCTCATGATGAAATCCTGTAAAAAACATTCACTTAGCAGGTCTAGTGGTTTACTCGTTTGGAACGATGGACTCTGGAAATAAAGAGTCAATAAAATCAACACAACATCTGAGGGACAGATCTATATATACAGCTAGGAAGAAACGCGCGCCTACTTGATACCAGTACTAGTCGCCATCCGCCATATATCGTCTAGTTAAACTCACAGCATCCATATAAGTTTGTTTATGAGATATATCACACTCAGTGAAACGGTATTATTTACTGGATGATGTTTCGAACAAAATTTATTGCTCATAATCATTTCATCAATTATAATCACACGACTTCGAAACTTGGGTCTTATAGTTTTCTTTGTTCTCTCCTATTTGTCACCAGTGGGGTAGTAGAATTTTCCAGATATCTGGGTGGACAGGTGTTGAATCATTTCTATTACACATGTTGTTTCGCAGTTGATTCGATAACCAAATCTTCTGTTATCCATCTCTACCTCCATTAACCCTGTGACATTAGATTTTGAAACTGTCATCTTATCCCATTATCCTATGCTGTATGGTTGTGTGTAATCGCATGTGGTGTAGTGCTATAGCTGAACAACCCTCCAGATTTATTATCCTATTATTGAGTCAACTAATCTAGATTTCACCGCTAGGTTTTTATGCTCAGCTTGTCTCACTCCTCCTGTTCTACTAGTTTGACCTACGTATTTAACCTGACAATCATTGCAGACAGGGTATTAGATAAGCTAAATTGTTTTGTTCTAAAGGCTCCACATAAGTGATTCTTTAACCGACAACGCTTGTTTCTAATTGAGTCTGTGGGTGGTTTGAATGCCAGCCACTTTTATTCCTGCCTTTTGAAGAATTCTGTATAAGGTTTCCAAGATTCCTTCTTTGTATGGAAGTACTACTGATGACTTATATTCCCTGTTATTGGCGCTGTAATTATCCTGCGCATGTGTGACATGCATGATGTTATTAATATTATTATTATTATCACTATCATTACTGTGCGTCGGTGGAACAGAGGTTATGACTCTCACCGACCATGCACACGGTCCGGGGTTCGATCCCCAGCCGACGCACATCTGATATCTATGGTCAGCCTGCAAAATTTGGGCCACCGATATCACATGCTAAAAATTCTATACTTGTACAAAAATACGGTGTGGAATAAAGCTGTAATCAAAAAATAAATAAATAAAAATAAAATATTATTATTTATTTTATTTTCGCATTTCCTCACATACTTTCTAACCAAACTTTCCAAACTCAAAGCACCGTTGCAGTGTCCATACTAGAAGCTGACGTGTCTATCAAGACCATATATTCTAGTTCAATAAAATCACTCAACTAGAAATTTAAAGTAATTTTAATCAACACAGTAGTAAGCGAAAAAATCCCATGCAAATTGCAACTTACTTCATTGAATAACAATTCACGTCTTTGTTGTTTGAAAATATTCATTTTCTTAACAGCCACATAATGTTTCGTCGGGGAATGTCTCATCAGGTAAACAACACCAGTACTGCCTTTACCAATTCGACATATTTCATGTAAATCAGCCCGTGGATCACCCGGTGTTACAATCTTAGCAAGTTCATTACGAAACTAAAAGTTGGTAAAAAAAGAAGAGAAACAAGAAATAAAAAAATAAAAAAAATTATTAATTAAACTTTAAGTAAATTATTGAATTAATTTTCTTTTTCTTTTTGATTACAACTTGATTCCACACCGCATTTTTTTGTATAAGTATGGAATTTACAGCATGTGATATCGGTAGCCCAAATTTAGCAGGCCGACCATAAATATCAGGTGTGTGTCGGCAGGGGATCGAACCCCAGACCATTTGCATGGTCGGCAAGATTCCTAACCACTGTGCCACCAACGCACAGTGTTCTATGAGGAGCTGGTTGGTTGATGTAGTTGTGAAGCTGTCGTCATTCTTTTTCCAGACAACACCGTATCTTTTTTTTCCTTCACGTTCCCAGTGGAACATATGGCTTCAAGCCGGAGGCTTAAAGTTTCTGTAACAGCGTTTATTTTTACAAGATGAGGTTGCTAGTCTCATACCCAGCCTTTCCTCTCTACCAGCTTTATTTCTGGCCTAGCAAGGTGAAGAGAGAGTGCGTCTGTGGCCGGGGATCAAACCCTGGACCATATGCATGGTAGGCGAGCGTCCTAACTGCTGTGCTACCGACGCACCAACATCTCATCAGCACAGGTTTTAGTAAATAGTAAACCTTCTAAAATTCTCTATGAATGATGTTGTTTTTATCGCCTGTCGACCAATGTCGTGACTAGTTGTTGATATACGTCTCTACTGATTGTTTTTACTCACTTGGAATTCAAATTTTCTTGTCATGGGATTTAATTTCTATTAGCTCGTATATTTAGTCTATAGGCACTTTTGGTGTTTCCTCTGTTCAAAACATTTCTACATTATCCCAATCATCAAATTGGTGTCCATAATTGTCTATATGCATTGATAAGAAAGACTATGGATATCAAGTCTTTTTAAAGCCAGTTTATGTTCTTGGATTCGGATTTGAAAAGGGCGCCCACTTTGACCAACGATGTAATGTTTATTGCAGTTCGTGAATGGAATTTATTTTGTAAATGGTATTAATTTTATCTTCTTTTTCTGTTGCATATTTCGGTTTGCATTATATCGAATGAAGTGATTGTCCTGGTTAGCTGGCTGGCTACTTTGTGTTCTATATCTATTTCAAACTGTCTACATGTTTAATTATATCTTTTAATTCCCAGAGGAACATAGGGCTTCAGCCGCCAAAGTCTCCATTGTGTTAGGTTCTCTGCTAGAGTTTTCACCTAGCTCTGAGTGTGTCCACATGTTTTCATCTCCTCTTCACATAACCTCCTCCAAGTCACCCTCTCACTGACGACCAACTCGCCGCTTCCCTTTCGGGTTCCACTCGAGCGATGGCTTGTCTAGTGATGTCACTTGATAGTTTGTTTCCTCAGAGTATGGCCAATCCACCTACCTCCATTTCTTCCTGCCTATTTGTTTCACAATCGGTTCCTGCTGGGTTGCTTCGCTCCCAGAGATACCTCCTTGTTTCTGATCTTTTCTGGCCGGCCAACTGATCTTGAGTATTTAGCGAAGACATCTGTTAATGAAGGTCTGTAGTTTGTTTGAAATGCTCTTTATCACGCGCCAAGTCTCTGATCCATATAGTAGCCTTTACTCCACATTAAAGTTGAAAATCCGAATCTTATTTTTGATGCTGAGTGCTGTTGACCTCCACACAGACTTAAGAGTGATGAAAGCCTGTCTTGCTTTCCCGATCCTAACTGTGATGATATCCCCATCAGTTCCGTGAGCCTGTAGTTGAAACGATGCTTCCCAGGTAGGTAGGTCGATAGGTAAAGGGGGTTGTTTCTTTCAGGTCCCTCCCATTTATCCTGGCTGATTGTTGTCTGTTGTTGTTGTTGTCGCTGCTGTTGATGTTGGCCAGGAATCTTCATCACCTCTGTTTTATCTATGTTCACCTGAAGTCCTATCTTCTCTGGATGCTTCTTCTGCCAGCTTGTTTCTTTTCACTTGCATATCTTCCAGTTTGTGGGAAATCAGACATATGTCATCATCACCGAAGTCCAAATCCTCCAAGTTTTCTTGTGTGTGTCCATTTTATGCCTGTTTCCTCATTTTCCGTTGTCTGTCGCATTATCCAATCAACTGTAATCAGGAAAATCATTGGCGATAGTAAGTCTACATGTCCCAGCTGTTATTTTAGAGACATTTTTGATATATAGTAGGATGAATTTTCCTTTGGTCTTTGATGTTGACTCGTTGTCGGTGTCATGATAAGAGTTTAAACACTTTTTGATGAAATTTTGAGGACATCCACTCTTTTTAAAGACGGTTAGTGGGTACTTTTCCTCCATAATCTTCAACAGGGGATTACTACAGCGTGTTTGAACTCTTTTAAAAACAATATCGGCACATAGTTTCTTTTGTGCGTAATTGGGGTTATTGCTATTATAATTGAGTATTTTGGTCTATGAGTAAATTGACAATCAGTCACGACAATGGTTACCAGAAGAAACAATTACACCAATTTAAATGAGTACATTCTATTCTAAAACCTGTGCTGAATAGATGTTGTCTAGAAGGCGAACGACAACAGCTTGGTAATTAAATCAATCAACCAGCTTCTCAGAGAACACAACTAATTCGATATCATCTACCTGAGCTACAAATCTTCTCCATTATATAAAAAATAAATTAACTTTTTAACGTCAAGTAATATCAAGAGTATTGGTTTTTGTAGGGATTGTGTTTGATTGTATGGGGGATTTTATCATGAGCTGACATCAGTTAGAGAACCACTGGAAAACCTGGGAGTATTGGACAGCTGTTTCGTCCTAGTTTGGGACTCTTCACAGTACGCACCCGCCTTGTAACCAGAAAGTCCTTGGTTCAAAACCCAGTGGGTGCGTACTGATGAAGAGTCCAAAACTAGACTGACGAAACAGCTGTCCAGTACTCCCAGGTTTTCCAGTGGTTCTCTAATTGATGTCAGCTCATGATGAAATCCTCCATATAATATCAACAGTAATAATAATTTTCATTATGCCTGAGTAATGTTATTTGATAATCAGCAGCTACATTACAATGGCACATATAAGGCGATATACACGACGGAAAACTCAGCATAACCTTTTAAGTGTAAACATGAGTAAGAGACGGCTGTATACTATAACCGATGATACTCCTCAGTGTGGTAGACTGGATTATGAGTTAAACTGTAGGAAGCGAAAAGGCAGGAACACTTTAGACATATAAGTAGACTGCAAAGGATCTGGATTTCGCGGAAGACTTATTATGCCTAATCTCACAAAAGTTCGAAGACTCCAGGGAGAGAAAACAACCACTTACTTGAAGAAGCAGAGGAGACAGAACTTTCGGTGAACACAGAAAAAGCAGTGGTTATAAAAATAGCCAATAAGCACTAATCACGATCAGAGAGGGAAATTTGAAAGAGGTCACATCTTTCACTTATCTACGCAGCATCGTTTCACCTACAGGCAGGCAGCCTGGTTGACGATGTAAAAACCAGGGTTAGAAAAGAAAGAAAAAGCGAAATATCACTACTCTGAAAGCAGTATGGAAAGCTTCTGCATTCTGCCTCAGCGTAAAAGGAAATTCGGATTTTTGACATCAAATGTTAAGTCAGTCAGTCACTCCTATATGGATTAGAAAATTGGTGCGCCCATCATAAACAGCATTTCCAACGGCTATCTATCGACAGCTCCATAGTGAAGCTCAGGTAGCCGACCGGAAACAATCAGCAAGCAGGAATTCTGGGAACATACCAACAAAGAGTCTTCCAGTCAACAAACCTGTAGACGGAAATGGAGATGGACAGGAAACACATCGAGAAGATCGTAGAATGACAGAAAGCCCACGGATAAGAGCTAAAAACCAAAATACCACGTCTTGGGAAGTGTAATTGTATAGTCACGGATTGGATCAAGTGGGATATTTAAATGAATGCGATATTATTACAATTGTATCTTTAGTAATAACAATGATACCCATTGGACGAAAACAAAACTTAGTCCAGTCGCTTCGGTACATATGCAGCCCTGATACTGTGAAAGATGAGTTATACATTTTGAGGAAAATCCTAATAGAAAATGTATTTCTACCACGTTTTATAGATAATACTATGCATTCAAATCCTATAAAACGTGACATATCAACCGTACCCAGGAGAATACTTTACATTAGCTTGGAATTCAAAGGGGACTTAGCTTCCGATATCATGAAAACAAGGATATCAAAGTCCCTGAAAAGAACATTCCCTGCTGCATCTCTGAGAATAGCCTTTACTAGTCGACCATTACTGTTCAATAATGTGAAGGACAAGATCCCGCTGTTGACCGACTCTATGTGTGTTTTTCAATTCACCTGCTCGTGTGGAGCTAGGTATATCGGTCGTTCGACTCGACTTTTCTCCATGACAGTGCAATAAAATTATTCCTCATAGTTACGAATATATGGACGTGGGGCAATCAGAAGCGCGATCATTGAACCTCTGGTCGATAATGATCACCCTACACCTCTACAACCTCCGCCTTTCATCTACAAGGCAAAGAGTAATTTACCCAAATCATCAAGTATCTGACTCACCCGTGGTGCTGAAGCCATCTTTGGCTATCGAAACAGAAAAGCCAAAGCTTTGTGTACAGAAAGTGTTCCCTAAAACGCCTCCAACTTTCATGGTCTTAATCCCTTTATGCTAAAGTATGCTAACCCTTAATCATATTTAGGCTCTACCGATTTTTCATTTTGTCTGCTCAATTTGTATACTCTTCCTTATTAAGTCAATTGTTATTATTACCATTCTCACTTTGAACTGTCCCCGGTATTATTTCACTTGTTCCATTTGTCATTCTAAATCAATTCTTTTTTTACAACGTTTAATTCCATGCTATTAAATTTCACACAATATTACGTAACGTTTTTATTTTATTCGATTTGTCCACTAATCCTATAAATGCACACCCTTTTTCAAGTTCTATCAATCCTATGAATTATTCTGTATATGGTAATTATTTCTTTTGTCACTTGACATTTAACT